AGTGTAAATGCATATCAAGTTAATTCTGTCAACTATTATACCCAGGCTTCTTCCAGTGTTAGACTAAACTTCTCGGCACACCCCTTCCGCTAAGTCTCAAATCTGTTTTAACTTTGATGAGGCCTCTTCCAGTGTTTGAGTAATCTTCTTGGTACACCCCTTCCGCTGAATCTCAAATCTGTTTTAACTTTGATGAGGCTTCTTCCAGTGTTAGAGTAATCTTCTTGGTACACCCCTTCCGCTGAATATCAAATATGTTTCAAATAACTCATTTGGTAAATGCTCTTGTGATTATTTCAGATCTGCTTTTTTGTTTTTATCACTATTTCAATAATAAATCAAATACGATTGTAACTGATTGCTGTCTTCTAGCTCTATTTATGATAGCTTTACAATATCTGTAACTTCAACCTTTTCTTTATTCTTAGCTCAACTCTATACGTGTTTTTCAAGTATAGAAATTATAGAATATATATTTGTATATATTCTTAATTTTAATTTACTTTGTTTTTATTTTATTTCGAATATTTAAAAATATAGATTTAATAAAATTATTATAATAATTGTATTGTGATTGGTTAAAGCATGGATTCTCATACCTCAATCTCGAAATACCTTTGAAAATAGAAATGATATACCGTTAGTTTGAATTTTTAAAGGTACTTTGAGACTGTAGTATGAGAATCCATGCTTTAACCAATCACAATACATTTATTATTATTATTTATTATATTTATTATTTATTTCTATTTGAAAACTGAGAACACATACTTTAACCAATCAAAAATACATTAATCATAATGAATTTATTAAATACATTAAGTTTAAATGGTAGTAATATAGTATTTAATACATAAAAACACTGTTTTACAGAGTATTGGGTATTATGTTCTAGAGCACTTAATGTTTCGCATAGCTCAGTTTAAGTATCTCTGGATTAGCGCCTTCTCAGTTTTGTCCGTTTGTTCTAAATTCCATTTTATTTCCAAATTTATTTCGTTTAATAAAAATTTGTTTTATGACACAAAAGATTGATATTATACTTTTACCGATCAATATAAATACTTTACTGATACAAAAATGATTACTCTCTACTATATATATTTTAATTAAGACTAAAAAGTCATGATTATAATTAAGTACCTTTCTGATACTCTGCTTTTATAATTTATTTCGTTTTTATTTCATTTTTATTTATAAAATCATTAATCTCTTTAACTAAACTTCTGAAAATTATATATTCACTACTACATAACAATCCTTTGATTGTCATATACACCGTAAACCTTATACCGTATACCGTAAACCGTAAATATATGTTTAAGCAAACATAATAAATATCTAAATAAATGCTGTTCCCTAATTGATCAGTGACAAAAGTAATTTTAAAAACCTTTAACAAACTGACAACATTTTTAAACGTGTCGCCTTCTCGAGTCCAAACTAAAAAACCAAAATTCTTCTTAAATGTTAAATTAAAATAAAATAAATAAAACAAAAATATTTTTAAAAAAAAATATATATATAAAAATTCAGTTAACAGCAGCATCAATTCATTAAAATGACAATTTTACAAAACTCCAAAAGCCACTACAACGAACCAAACGAGAAGAAGCCACACTTTTTTCCACGAATTGACTGACTACAAGGCTTGGAATAAATGTACGCGTACGTGTACAAGTCCCCGGCAAGAGTTACCTTTCTTCTTGTACGAATATCTTATACTCACATATAAATATACCTACATACTCGTATTAAAGTATGTTTTCTTATGGGTATAACTTTAAGTTGCTGAAAATAAAACAAGAAGACGAAAAGTTTAAATCCAGAATCCAAAACAGACCTAACAGAAAACAGAAAATATTTCACGCAATTGCTCAGCTGAGTGTGCAGCTAGTAAGTATGGTTAACTCTTATGCCTCTTATGCCTCGGCTGAGCAGCAGTTGACCGACCAGCTTCTTGGTCGCTTGCTTGGTTGCTTGCTGTATTCCTTTAACTGGGTTGGTGCCTTTGACCATGTTCATGTATCTACAACACGTTCAAAACTGAACTGGCGTTGATCATGTTTGACGTTGATTTTTAATTGATGTTTTTTCAATTCAACATTTTCCGTGGCCTTTATCTGAATAAAAAGATACAAAAACACAAAAAAAAAAAACAAAATTGAGAAAAAAAGCACAGCAAGTAGTTCACCTGTAAATTTCTCATGCAATTGTTATTGTTATTGTCGAGAAGGAGAAGGAGAAATTTAAAGAAAAAATTTTCAAATTTTAAGAAATACTGTTAATGAAGTATAGATATAAGACATTAACATTTTGCTGAACTTTAACGAACTTGTAACAATTAAAAAGCCAACAAAACAAAACAGCAAATCATTTGGCCAGAATAAAGTGTGGCTCAATCCATTTGCCTGCTTCCCAATACTTGTATAAATCACACCTTGTGTATTAATTGTGTGAATTGTGTGTATTACGAATATATACGGGCGTACTATGTTATATCTGTACGAATGTCTATAAAACTACTGCTTCGATTTCGCATTGCCTGGCCAGACTTTCAGCTGAAAACTCCAAACTGTGAACTGCTGCCTTGGTTTGAGATATGTGCGAAATCAGAATTAATTTCGACGCCCACAAAGTTCAACACACAAACACATTCAGCTCCAAAGGAATTTTGTATGGAACACATTGAACATGCCCCATTTTGTCGCTTTGTGTGTACACATTATTAGTGTTGCCATGTTGCAATTTAAATACAACAAAATAAAATTACAATAAATAAAATCAAAATTAAATAAATAAACGCATTTCGCTTGTTTCAATGCGAGTGTGTTTTAGTTGTGGGTTAAATATAGCAAATCTAAGGCTTAAACCTATTCACGCATTAAAGAACGGAAAGGTACTCAGCCAGTCAGTCAGTTAAGTCAGTTAATCAGTTAGTCAGTCACATAGTCAGATAGTCAGATAGACAGACAGTCTGTTTGCTGATAAACAAACAGATAAACATTCCGATAAATTATACATAATGCTGTGTTAAGTTTAAATTGTTACTGTTGTTGCTATTGTTGTTGTTATTATTGTTGTTGTTGCGATTTTTTGCTGTTACTGTTGCTGTTGCTGTTGCTGTTCCTGCTACACATGACAACATGCCTCACGTATATAAATTAAGTTGTTAACATGACAATTGTACAAAACTGGCTGATACCAATGTTGCCCATTCTGTTGGCTGATCTGCAATTTCTGCCTGATTTTATTTTGATTACTCGTACTGTGTTATTTCCCTGTTAATACTCCGACTCTGGCACTGAGGTGCAAAAAGATTCATTTTAATGAAATCCTACAATAACTGCGTTTAAGCAAAGAGCTGAGAGTGTTGGTAGAGTGTTTGGCATAAATTAAATTTTTGCAGTTGAATTAATTTATAATCAAGTGTGCTTATGCGGATTTTTGTCAAGATAACTGAAGTGCCTTCTTGTCGATAAGTCTTCTTACTGAACTTCACTCTTTAGTCGGATTAAAATAAAAAATCATGCCCACTTAATTATGATGCAGAAAAGTTTAAAAACGTTAATGCTTAGTACAATAATATTAAATAAATTTTTAACAAATTCTACATTAAAAATTAAAAAAAGAAATAAGAAATTATAAGTAATAAAATAATAATAAATAAGATTACAATGCTAAAAAAAATTAATTACATACAAAATAAAATATTATGAATATAATATTAATTAAAATAAATATAAGTAAGACTACAATGCTAAAGAAAAATAAATAAATTAAGTACAAATGGTAATTATATAAGAACGATTGATTTGAAATAAGAACATAAACATGATTGAACATCAGATCTATGCAGAATAGATATATTCAGGTAGCAGTGTGATCCTGCCTATAATAATAATACATGTAACCGGCTATTGCCTAATAGACAAACATACACATTATCATTAATTCCTAACTAACAATTCCTGCCAAGTGAAAAAAAAAACTATCAAGCTCCCATCTATTGTGCAATTCAACAGCCACAACAAGAAATTCTTGAAAACAATTTTTTGACGACCACGAACAGCTACCAGAAAATTATGTCAGAAGTCTGACAATATTATCAAAGAAAATTAAACAGTTAAAGCGTGCAGATAGCGATACATCCTTAACAGATAGCCTTATTATATATAGGAAACAAAGCCTAATACAGAGAAACATTATAGGAAAGATTTAGAAGATTTAAGAATGTAATTGAAAGTTAACATAAAGACATTGAATAATTAACAATCTCTTCCCACATAGTGGTTCAAAATAATACCGGAATGTGGGTGGGGGTTTAGGCTCAAAACTCTATATTCTATACGCCATTGTTACGAGATAAGAAGTCTCGTAATAACAAATCTAGCGTAACACAAAGAGAACACAACACTGCAGAGATATAAAAAATCTGACATATTAGCGACATATTATGCAAACAGTTTTAGAATAACACAGTAAAGTTATAGTCTAAAAGAAATCTCACATACATCTTATTATGATAGCTTTAAATTATTCCAACGAAGCTATAAACTGTAAGAAGTCTGACATACAGATTCGTCCTTAATCCCAATCTAACAGAATATCATAATAACAAGTAATTAAAAAAATTTTCAAGTAAAACTTACAAATCAAGCTAGTCAAAACATTAACTAATTACTAGCTAATGGTTAGTAAAACAAATGAAAAAGTAAATAAAATGCGAAAGTGTTAGCTAACAGCACTAATAATACGAAAGTACAAACTATTGTCTCACACAAATTACTGTGAGATCTTCCATGTGTATACAATCTATATTAAAATATATATTAAGTAATACTATTTCCTTACATATCGAACCATTATAAATTCATATTGTTAGAATCTAACAGAATATGAAAAATTAACAAAATAATTTAATTAACAATATAATTAAGTCAACAAAATAATTAATTCAACCAAATCTATTAAAACTTTTTTTATTTTTCTCATTACAGACCTTGCAATCACTACAAAGTGCCGCCAAACGTGCGGGGACTTCATGTGCGAACTGCAAAACCACAACGACAACCCTTTGGCGGCGGAATGCCAGCGGTGAACCAGTGTGCAATGCCTGTGGGCTCTACTATAAATTACACAATGTAAGTAAACTGAAAACAAATTTTGTTAAAAATATAAAAAAATAGCACAAAAGCAACACTGGACTTAGTAGTAGTTAAATCGTAAGCACACATAAGCGGTCAAACTAATCGTTTCTTGTACACAATCCATGAAGACTACTTTTGGGCAAATTTAAGTACTTCCGTTAACATAAACTTCCGTAGTGTATAAATTATATATAACGTCGTGAGCATAAAATACAATATTTCCCTAAAGTAAAATCGAAGTAAGAAGCCAATATGGGAATTATCAACGCGGACAAAAGTCATAAAACGGCGGATATATTAGCATGTTAATCCTGTCAGAAAGTTTCATACTGGAAATATTTTTCTAATTTATCTATTTTTGTTTTTCCTCTTTGTACTAAACCAATGAGTTCATAGGCTTGAAATTGTACAAATTTCCCGTATCACACCCTGTATACGCTTTGTTTAACTAAAGCCAAGTACACAGCATGTTGCCACATAAATCCGCGTATTGATGATAGTTTAATGATATTATGTTTTAAATCATTTGAAACAACAACTAGAAAAACATTAGTGGTAACAACAACAACAACAACAAGACCAGGAGGACTTAAAATATTTGTAAGCAAAAAAATAGCAACAACAAATCACAGCTCTTAACCCTCGTTAAGTGCTTAAGCGATTTCACACACCATTTACCACGGGCGCAATCGAGTTCAGTCGAGCGCTGCTCAATGAATATCTGAAAACGTTCGGGATTTCCCACATACAATTGAAAATATATTCAAAAGTTGTTTTGTTTTTTTTTTTTTTTCATCCAAATACAAAGATCTGTATTTATTTTTGAGATATAAATTACAAAATATATACATATATCGATGTATATCTGTACGCTTTACGCTCCCCTCTTAAGCTAATAAAGCACGGCGAACTATCACAACTAAACAAACGCAAACGTCCTTAGCTCAGGAAACCGTGTGTAGGGTGGCGGAAATGAAACCAGATTAAAAATGACACTACAAAAGGGAATCACGGCAATATAAAAGCCAGAATAGCAACAACCACTACAACGGGACGCTGTGGCTGAAAATTCAGACACCAGCGTTCAGCGTTCAACGTTCAACGTTCAAATAGAAATTTTTGGGTGGCAAGTAATTCGTTATAACTGCCAACATAACGTTTGATGAATTGTTGATGATTATTTAAAGATGCTGTATCTGCCGTGATATACCCTGCTATTAATATTATTATTGCCATTGCTATTGCAGTTGCCGTTGGTGTTGGTGTTGTTGTTGTTGTTGTTGGTGTTATTGTTTTCTGGTGCTAACTGTTGGCAGCGATTAGATAAGCGATATGCGTACATTGGCTACCGCCTGTAAAAATGCGATAAGCCTAACTCACTTAATAAACTCGTCGTATAAATATAATTTTTATATGCTTGAAGTTTGTTAGTGAACCAACCAGTAAGAAGAGTTACCCCCTCTTCGTCTTCTTCTAGTTGCAATCGGTGTAATTTATGTTATAAACTTAACTTAAACGTTTTGGGCACACTACTCAAGATCTATGAGAGACCCTCTCAAGATTGGTATGCATAATTTCATGCCGCTTCACTGATGCGGAAGGTGAATTTCATTTAAAGCAAAAAAAGAATTGATATCCAAAATTTGAAGGAAAAATTATTATAGTACCAAAGTGTAACGCGCTCAGTGCGTAGGAAATTACACCAGAAATATAAGGACCGAATTCGTTTAAGGTGGACTGGGATATTTAATGTGACTTTATAGAAATACGTAAGTGTGCCGCCGGCCGCCGGTACGTTAAAATTATGCATTTTTGAAAAAAAATACAGAAAAGGGAATATATATATATAGTGTATCCATGTATAAAACAATTTATACACATTAAATATTCATTAGCTGAGAAAAAATCAGGAAGCGGGGTGTAGCAAGTGTTGGGCGTAACATTTTCGTGGGTGAATGTTAGAAAGCGAATTCTCTAATATATCGTAAAGTAAAACAAAGCATAAGACAGAAAAAAGTTTTTAGAACTCTACGAAAAGAAAAAAAAAATCTTAAGTATTTGAGTATAGAAAAAAACACCAGTAAAAATTTAATACATATTTTTTTTTTATTTTTGGAGCCTTTTTCATTATTCGCTTTAACAAAAAAATGTCCTTTTTCAGACATCATTTTTGAAGTTCCAAAACCAGGAAAAAATTTTGTAGTTAATTTTAATGACTTTGTTAAGAAAAGTTTTAGAATATTTTAAATATACTTTTTCTACTTTCATTTACAAGTCAGTGCATTTATGTTTATCTTAAATAACCCTTGGGTTATTTGAAATAAATAGAAATTTCTTTTTGTGAGTAGCACTAAAAAGAATTGATAAATAAATTCTATTAATTTAGTGATTGATTTAAAAAATACACATTTAATTTTTTAATAAAACTATATACATCGCGTTATCAAATCTCAAAATAGTTACAGGCTGCTCGGGGATGTATGCAGATCTGAGATCAATTATTGCTTAATCTGATGAAGTGATAAACAATAATCTAGTCAAGATGTAAAGAAAGGTTTTGAAAATACCTCGAGTTAAAAAAGAGTATAAGTGCTTAAGTGCACTAGCTCAAAACAGCTTCAACATATTATATACTACTATATAATATACTAAAAAAGTCATATAATACATAAATATATTTTATCTATAACTATACATATACAATATAATATATACTATGAAAGATATTAATGTACGTCTCAAGCGTTTAGAAGTTTGTCTATAGCAGGGCTGTCTAAAGCACGGCCCACGGGCGTCATGCGGCCCGCGGCTTATATATATGCGACCCGCGACATTTTTCTAATCTACCACAATTAGGCACATTTTTCTTTGTTATATTTTGAATATATCACATTATTTTATGTTCATTATATCCCAAATAAATAAATAAATAATTTATTACACTTCTCGTTAATTTACTTAATTAGTGAAAATTTTAGTACATATTTCTTTGTACAACTGGTAAAAAAAAATCGTATCTAACCGTAAGTCATTATATTAAAAATAAAATATTTTTCTTATAGGAATAAATGAACATATGTATTTATTTCTGCGGCTCTCTAACCTATTCAGTGATTTGTATTAGCCCGCGACCTTCCTGTTCTGGACAGCCCTGTCTATAGAATACGTTAGACCAAGTGGGTAGGTCCTTTAGTGAAACTTTGATTCGCGAAAAATTTTGCAAAAAATTTTTCAAATACAAAAAGTTGTTCATTACCTAAGAAGTTCAGAAACTGATTATATATCTTTTAAAGAAATCAGTGTGTCTTCTATACTATACAAGAAAGTATAATTTTCTAATTAAAATAAAATTGTATATAAAGTGTTTTCCACTTATAATTCATACAGTACACAATGGTACTGATAATCATACTCTGCTCTTAATTGCTACGCGTCGGTAATATGATAATATCAAGCAAATTTAAATGAATAACTCGGAGTATTTCTCCGAGTTTTACAAAAGCAAAACTATTTGTTTGGAAATATGTAAAGCAAATAATATTAAAAACAAATTTTCATTGGAAATGCAATATTAAATAATTAAGAAATTTGCTGTTGTTGCAGTAACCACAAATGCCACAAATGATAAGCATCAGATGCTGCAAAACTGAGACTAAAAATCCGACTGTGTCATAGATGAATGCTGACTGCTGACTGTTAACTCTGCCTGGCTGCTGTCTGTGCGCTGGTGTTGTTGCTGTTGCCGTTGCCATTGCTTTGGCATGTGCCGCAAATGTGCAATTTTTCAAATGAATTTTATTTCATTTATTAATTGAGCATTTAAAAATTTTACATTTTCCAAAACTCGAACACATTTTAAATCAATTTTATTCAAACATAAAAAAAAAAATGAATAGATAAAATGGAAAAAATTTATAAGAAAATTGATTTGCAAAACTGCATGCATATGTCTTGTACTCGTAATGATGCCCCAGTGTATGGGCAGTTATCCATCCATCCATCCGTATACTGTTTGAATTTTTAATAGTTTTGAATATAGTCACACATATTGATGTGTATGTGTTTGTGTGAGTGTGAGTGCAGTATACAAACAAAATTGAAATAAACTAGATAGAAAAATATAGTCTATGACTTAAAAAAAAATAAAAAAAAATAAAAAAGAAAATATTTTAATTTTTTTTTCAATTGGGCACTGTCCAATCTTGATAAGATGCCAATCACTGTGCACCCAGCGTGTTTTATTTGTATTTTTCTAAGTTCAATTATGTGTTGATGTGTATTTGGTGCTGTTTCTGTTAACTTATTTTAAACAACAGCGCTGCTTTGCTACGACGTCACCTCTGCATTTTGGCTAGCTTACAATTTATTCGCTGTTCTGTTCAGTGAAGTTCAGCGCTTATACATATTCGCCGAATAAAACTTATTCGCTGCTATGCTGCTTATGCTATGTGCATACTTTTGCTTAGCATATTGTGCTACTTACGTGCAGCTTTGCTGTCAACAACATAGGCTAACGTGTAATGATAGCATAGTACTGCTGCTGCTGCTGTTGCTGCTAGCGTCTACGTCGTTAGTTCGTCTATGAAAATTGTCGTGTGTGTGGGCTTTTTCGCTTAGCATGCATGCAATCTGATTGGCGATTTATGGAAATTTCTTACTCTTTTCCCACTGCGTGTACTGTGCAGTGCAGTGCGGTGCGCTTATTTGTAAATATGTGAACGTTATAATTTTGTTGTTGTGAAATGAATTTTAAATTGCAAATGCGAATAGTAAAAATGTGATATGAGTTTAGAAGAAAGCGCAAGGAGGGTGTTAAGGTGCAAGACATGATAAATTTTTTAATGATGAATATATGAATTTTTGTTCATTTTTTTTTGTGATTTGAAACTAAATTAAAAACCAATTTTTATGCAATACAAATTGCTGGGAATTTTTTAATAATAGTTTATATTATATATTTTTCTTTTTCTTATTAACTACTTAATTCGAAACGC